GTTTAAACCATACATGTTCGCTTCACACTAATACCAAATATCAACGTATTCCAAGCATATGTTTTACTGTGAAAGTCTAAGCTCGATAAAGTTTTAACTCTAGGTTGCCACAAGGTCGAAAAGGCTTCCTACCAGCATCGTCCCAAGATGGCATTTTCCAAAACAATTGGGGAATTAAATGTCGAGGTGAGAATGCATAGTGATTTTTATCATACTTAATGACTTTTATAATCCATTAAAATGTTTTTTCATAAGTAATATCATAAGGGCATCTAATTTTTCCGAAAGAAGTCGAAAAAACATCTTTCCAAGTAATATTTTAAGAAGCATGAGTCGAGGATTTTTGCACCAGCACGAATATTTTTTGTTGAGAAAATATTACTTTGCATTGTGTTTTTTCGATTTTTTTTTCACAGGAAAAATTTAGATGCCCGAATGGTATTTGACAATACTATTTCGTGAGTAAATGAATTCCGTAAACTGTCTCCATATTGACGTATAGGTTTTAACAGTATTGTACAGTACAATTTTCTTAATCGCCAGATCAAGATTAGTCAAAGAATCATTTCCAAAGCGACTCATTTTCACTACCTAAGCTGACTGGCATTGTTTAAAATAATATTACAGAATTTATTAACAATAAAATCAGAAAAATTATTTAGCGAGCGTCGTTTTCTGGTATACTAAGGGTGGATTTCACAATTTAACAAACCATTATTCTGCACCAATAGGGTACGAGTACCAAACAGTCCGTTAAATATACCCAATCAGCCTCAAGATCTCTCCGTCAATTTTTTTGGCAGCAAATAGCATCAAAGTATTCAAAACAAAACACTGTAAAATATAAAGTGACAGCTTGCCATTGAAATCCTTTCAGTTTATTAAATATTATGAAATTATGTAAAACTGAGCCAAAATTTTTAAAAATGCTTGATGTCTGAGTAAAATCTATTTTTTCAGATGAGCTGAAGGTTTTCCATGTTTACTGCAAGTTTTGTAATCCATATATGATTATATCACCTACTGCGTGCTTATAGTTTATCCTATATTTGCAAACTTGCACTTCCAAACCCTTACATGAAAAAGCCTTTTCACTCAAATTTTTGTTAATGTTGCATTTCAAAACATTCATACACTTCTTTCCAGTTCCTCAACGATATTTTAACCCCACTGGTCCGAAACTGTTCAACAGTTTCAACATTCATACATACAATTGCAGTTGCAGTTTTTTGTTTAATTTCAGTGTATAATCAGTCGCACCATCGGTGATGGTACATTCAACATAACCACGTTCGCGCAGATTTAACGCGTACACGACAGTGTAATATGTATTTCTTCACAAAAAAATCTTGGAGGGAGCACTTTTATACGGAAATTTGTTGTTAAAAAATTCCATTTTTCACACATAACAAAACAAGTGATCACAAAACATAGAATACAGTGACGTTGGAGAAGGAGAATAGACCAAAGGAGATCAGAATTGACATTTGAAATTAGTGTCTCATAATGTTAGTGATGGGAGAATACATTTGCGATCAGTGGAATGTATTGGAACGGTTAAAAAATATGAATTGAATCGTTTTTACGTTATCTCGACTGAAAGACTGGAATATCTGCTCTGTTTCTGTATATATTTTTTTTTGTGGTATTGTTGCATAAAGTAGTTGGTTCACGAACTAGTTCCTAGAACTGAACGCAACTTAATGAAACGAACTGGAAAGCACATCACTTTTTCAAGTAATCCAAGAAGGGACAAATTGTCATTTCATCACACTAGTGATGCGAGAATCGAAAGCCTGAGATTCGCTTTGCTCCTGTGGCTCAGAGATATAGTGTTTTCTTCTGGTAAAACTAGCGCAGCTTTTGTGTTTACTGTTTTGATTGCTTTGAAGAAATTCATTAACCCATGGATTTATAACAAATGATTACTATTATGATCTAAAGAGAGATGAGGAATTGGTTGGAATACATTTTATATTCTATTTTCTTGCAAATCCGTACAATTCAACAGGGATGTGTAGCTATAATGATCACATATACACACAGTATATTGAACTTAACAAATTTCGAGATTGCCATGAATTAACAATCGACCAAACCTGCTGCCAAATTTAACAGCTAGAAAATCAGCCTATTATTTCTCCCATTCCCATTCGCTGAGGCAGTGCTGCCACCTCTACCGATTTATCGGTAGATCTACCGATTTTAGAAGAGATCTACCGATTCTAATGAAAAATCTCCCGATTTTTTTTGTTTCTAAATATGCATATTTTGAAATTACAATAATATGTTTTACCCTCTAAGCTACTTATAAATATTCTGTAGTTTGCTTAAAACATCCCAGTTTATTCTTCTTTTCTTATATTTAGCGACATCTAGTGGTACACGTCCAAATCGTAAAATAAATACCGATAACTGATTTCTACAAAATACAATTTATTTGATAATTCCCCGACGCGACTCGGGTATTCCCCTGGCTAACACCAGCAGGACGCGATAGTCGATACACGATTTATATTATTAATACTCTGTTGGTGTTGGCTGTTTAGAAGTATGTTGAAGAGTAGTGATTAAATTTATATTCTCTGATATAAATTTTGATTTTTTCTGGATTTTAATTTTTATTAAACAAATATGGATAGTGATAGTGACAGTGCTGATAGTGGAGGTGAAGGAACCAGTTACGGTTTAAAAAAGAAGATGAAATACAGTCAGTCCTACAAATCAGATTGGGAGAAAGAACCACGCTTCACAGGTTGGCTTATTAAAAGCCAAAAAGGGAAAAATTTTGGATTCTGCAAGGCATGCAATAAAGATATTAATATATCCAGTGGAAAGGACTCACTTATAAAACATACACAGCGAAAAATCCACGAACAAAATGTAAAATCTATCAAAAATCAACCGTCCATGACTAAATTTGTTACAGACACAAAAAGGAGGCAAAGGGCTCAAGACACCAAAGAAGGTATACTTACGTTTTTCTATTTGGTAATTCCCAATGATTGATGCACTTATGTGCAGTACCTGTTATAAAATGTAGTACAAGATTCATTACAATGCTCAAAATATATTTTCTATTGGATGTCGGAATGCTACTGGAAGCTCTCTTTCCTTCCTCCAGACCCATCACGTGACTTTCTCCACCTTTTGTCTTAAGGTGCATCCAGACTATATAACATGTTGTATAACACGTCCGCACTGTTCAACATTGTTGTATAAAATTGCATCATTTAACAATATGATATAGTACTACGTGCATCGATCATTGTAACATTATAATTGTGGCAAGGTTTTTTTATTCTATTCCATCATTTTTTAGCTGAGATACGGCTGGCGGCGTTTGTAGCTTAACAAAATCTTCCATTTACCGTTATGGAGCATTTGCCTGATCTAATAAAAAATATATGTTCTGATTCCGAAATTGCTCGTGGTTTGGCTTCTAGCAGAACCAAAACAACGTCGATTGTAAAAAATGTAATTGGCCAGGAAGAATTTTTGAACGTTTGCGAAGATCTAAGGCAAAATAAGTTCTCATTAATAGTAGATGAATCGACGGATGTTAGCACCACTAAGCATCTTTGTTCCGTAGTGAGGTATCGAAAAAATAATGTAATAAAAGACAAATTTTTTGCTCTATTACCTTTATCAAATGCTGATGCAAAAACTTTATATAACGTTGTTATAGACCTTTTTAAAACTAACAATATTCTGTATAAAAATAATTTAATTGGATTTTCTGCGGATGGGGCTAATGTCATGATGGGCAAAACTAATTCATTAATGGTACTTTTAAAGAAAGATATTCCTTTTTTGTTTGTGATGAAGTGCATATGCCATTCATTCCACCTTTGCGCTTCTTACGCTTCACAAAAAATACCAAGGTTTGTCGAGGATCTTGTGAGGGATATTCATAATTATTTTAATTCTAGCCCAAAAAGAACTTCAGAATTCCGTGACTTTCAGGCTTTTTGTAACATAAAAACACATAAAATTCTGCACCCATCACAGACTAGATGGCTTTCTGTTCAAAGTGTAGTAAGTCGTATTTTAGAACAATACAATCCATTAAAATTATACTTTACTGACGCTGTTTTCCAAAATGATGTTTTAGCTACGAATCAAATTTTGAAAAGGTTAAACGACCCTACTACCCTCTTATTTTTGCAATTTTTAGATTTTGCTTTGCCTTTTTTCAATAATTTAAATAAGGATATGCAAGCAGAGAGCCCAAGAATACATGTTATATATAAAAACATATCCACTGTTTTAAAAACCATGTTTGATTGTTATTTAAACCGCGATTATTTAACATCAACATCTCTAGAGAATATTGACTACAAAAATCCCAGAAATTACTTACCAATAGAAAATGTTTATTTTGGAGCTAATGTGGCAAAAACATTATCAGAAATTACAATATCCAGCGAGCAAATACATTTTTTTAGGCTTAGATGTTTAGAGTTTTATATTGAAAGTTGTGATCAAATCCTTACTCGTTTCCCGCTTAAAAATAATCCAATTAAATTGTTTAGTTTTCTCGATCCCGTAAATGTCAAAACAGGAGTTATACCTTCTATTTCAGATGTGGCCAGGATTTTTCCAAACTTAATTAAGGAAGAAGCGCTTCAATCACTTGATAATGAATGGCGTCTTTTGCGTAATACCGATATTGTAAAATTATATAATCAAGTCGAGACATTTTGGCAGGAAGTAAGTGAATATCGCTTAGGTGACGATACGCCTTTGTTTCCAATTTTAAGCCAATTCGCTTTTAATATATTGTGTTTACCCCATTCTTCCGCCAATGTTGAAAGAAGGTTCTCAGAAATTAACCTAATGAAAACGAAACAAAGAAATTCTTTAATACAAAGACAATTACGGGATTAGTACATATTAAACAGTACTTAGGTAATAATAAGTGTTTCAATTTTAAAATAAGCAAAGAACTTATTTTAAAAATGGATAATAAAACACTAAAAGGTATTGAAGAGAGTGAAAATGACTAAACAACTTAATAATTATCGATTTATATTGTTCTGTTGTTCTTGTTTTATTACGTTAACAATGTATATTTAGATTCTTTGTGTACTTCTGATACCCGAAACTGATCAGTAATGAATAAAATATATTTATTCATAAAGTATTTGTTTTTCATTGCTTCATAAAGTATTTGTTTTCCATTGCTCAAATACCTAAAAAAAATTGAAGAAAAACTGCTGATTAGATATATAAAAAGCTTGCTTATTGCTTAACCTCATTTTTTATCTGTTAAAAGCGTTCTAGGGGAAGCCTATGGCGCAACCGGCTATCTACCGATTTTAAACCGAAACCTACCGATTTATTTTTTGAGATCTACCGACATTGGTGGGTAGAAGCGTGGCAGCACTGCGCTGAGGGGATAACGGATGGTCAAATGTACATCTATAACGTAAATCAAAATACATGAAAGTTGTCCTGTTTCCTCTGTACACAAGCATCATGTTGCAATCAAAAAGTGGTCTTGTTTATAATACAGTCGGATTTTCACGATTTTATTCAACATTTTAATAGAAATCACTGATATTCTGAGACCTTTGACAGCTTCCGTCAAATTGCATTTCGATAAGGTATTTTCCTATTGGTCCATAATAATAATGTTGGCGAAATCGGCCCTTGGAGACCATAATTACTTGTTATCAAAAAAAATTTTTAGTGACAACATCTGTCATGTTTTGCCACGGGTGAACTCGAAAAAACTACTGACAGGTGCTGACATTTTTCCATCTAGAAACCATTTGTAATTCAAAATTAAGACGAGAGATAGTCGTCTATGATCATCTTCCAAATCGCAAAGATGCTTCCTTACACTCAAAAAACTGTTTTTTAAGAGTTTGCTGCCACAATACTATCGAAACAAATTTTATTTTGACTATTCCTTCATAGGAGACAATTTGGTAGTCTTCATCTGGAACTTGCTGACCAATGGTAATGTCACATTTGATTCCAAAATTCACTTGATATCGTATTATGCTCTTTAAAAAATTCTTCCAACGCAGCCAAAACGCATGAGTCTGATTACTAGTCGGTGAAATTGAAATAAAATAATATCTATTATGACAACACTATTGGAAATTATAACAGAATACGAAGCACGTGATAGGTAATGGTTGATAATTAGGCAGTGATGGATATTCTTTTGTTTGCGTATGGGGCCGTCGGAGGTAGCGTGTGCTACTGTTCTTCTGTCTTTGTGGTGGTAGGAAGGTCAGGCTAGCCGCGACCATTTGCAGATGAGTAACTGTTAAGGAGCTCCACTATCGATACACCTGGCTTATTGGCTATGATTACTTGTTGATTCATGGGGTGAATTATCATGCGATGAATAAACCAAACAGTCTGCATTAGAGTTCGTTGTAGATACTTTTATCCATTTCTGCCAGTATGTATGCCCGTCATATTGAGCGGTATTCATAAAACAAAGGATATCCTTGTACTTGCAAATTTAAAATTATAACAGTATTACTAACTTTTGACTATAACCACACTATGATATAATTGGAGTATGTATTTCACAGAAGACTATTTTACCCGTTTTCGTCAATCTGTCTGCCTTTCTGTTTGCTAATCTTTGGACCCTCTGTAACTCTGAGAAGAATTTCTGATTTTAAGAAAAGTTTGGCCCAAGGATACTACTGTGTCAAGGTTTCAAAACTTGATCCAGCAACGGCGGAGTTACGGACAGAAAATGACAATAAAAGAAGAAACTTGTTCATTTTTATAATGTTTCTTAAAGAATATTGGTCTTGAGAGTTATGGGGGTGGGGTTTAAAACGTTGTATCTTGGTATCAGTAAAAGTGCTTCGAACATAGGCATATCTTCCATTGAAGCAAATATGGATTGATTATTGATCTATAGTACGAGAAGTAGTCTTACTATATTTGGTACCTTCCTAGTCACGTTTCATTTTCATTTCATTTGAGCAGCCTCTACTACAACTGATTACTTCACGTTATATAATTAAAAATATAAGTATAAATAATGAAGGTAAGTTGACTTGATATTTCACATACAACTGATTAACTTGCTTTTTTTAATTGCAGTTCATACGAAAATAAACTGAAGATGATAGAATAGCATGAAAAGTACACAGACAACCTACTTGAGGCCATTTTTTTACAAGGAGCACTCTAGAAAAACGGTTCTGTTAATATAGTTGTTCGACCGAATAGCATAGTGAAAAATAAATGTAAACACTATTTTACAAGGAATATGACATCCTTCAAATGTCTGACATGGCTTCTTTCACTGGTCCGGGTGCATCTTCAATGGTTCAGCCGCAAATATCCGCTGAAATTTTACCACAACTAAAATTTGCTTGAGGCGGATTGTGTACATTGACACGTACTTTTTGGGTGGTCATCACTGTCGACAGTGTAAATTGGCAATCAACATTCTTCGACCTGATACCATTAAACTTTTACTTGCAGGACTTTGCAGTTCCAGATCTTTCCCTATAACCCACAATTCATCGATGCCCTCAAAGCCAAAATAACACCCTACGTAACGCTTTGAGCTGGGAACATTAAAACCCTTGTCTGTTCTCCCAAGCCGCGCGAAAATTGACAAGCCGACGGCATTTTAACCTCACACGATCGACAACCCCCGTCTTCCTTCCAAAACATGATTTCTGGGAATCGATCCCACTAATTGACATAAATAAGCCGCTCAAAAATGAACGGTCACGTCATCTAAATGACCACGTCATTTGGAAATTAAAGTTCTAGAACTTGTGTAATTTACTTATGGGCTACCATTGATTCTATTATGTCATGTAGTTCAAGCTTCAAATACAGTTGTTCTAAGAATGCAAATTCGTTTATTTAACCACTTAAGTGGCTGTAGCTGCTTTCAGCGATGACTTTTCGAAGTCACGTGAATTGGGTTACTTTAAATGAAATGCGTACATATACGGGGAAACCACCATCGTTAGTACTGTTTTTAAACAAGTAATAAATGCACACAAAATTACTTGAAACTTATTTATTTAAAAACAAAATACAGCCGATAAATAGTAAAAAATATTATTCTTTCGTATGGTATATCCCAAAACAAGGTGCAGGACAGAGACCAGTACGACACTCTAGGCACCAATAACGACTCTCTTTTCGCTGCTTTCTTTCAGCACATACAACGCATCTGAAGTAAAGAAAAACGCAATAAGATAAACGTAGAGTGGTAAGTTTTTGACTTACCTGTTTCCCTTTTTGTCGGTATTGCTTTTGTTGTTGGTGGTATTATCGATGGAAAATGCCTTTCAGCCAATCTGGTGGGCATTGGCGTTCTTTTTTTTAATTTGTCATTGTTTGCTGTATTTCTCCACTATCTTCTCACCCAGCTCCAGTAAAAAGTTCAGTTTTTTAGCTTTCCGCCATTCTTCTTATAAATTTGAAAGGCATTCAACGTAGTGACGCTTAAAAGATGGAGAAACATCTTCAGAATTTTTTAATTCTAGTACAAGCAATTCCATAAAAGTGGAGGTAATTGTCAGATAAATCAATTCCACCCATGCTGTCATTGTAGCCGATTACGCAAGATGGCTTTTCAATGCCCCCACTCCTTGCTGCAATTTTTTTTATGCTGTCATCGTGGACTGTGCTTATCATGAGGACGTCTCTCTTGTCGCGCTATTTCTGAATCATGAGTTTTTCTCTAAAACGTGCTACAATTTCTCCTCTCTGTAACTTTACTTTTAATTCCCGTGGTCTTCTTTTTCTATTTATTCTCATTGTCCCAACGCTATCCGTCCTTCTTTTTACTAGTTTGTCGCACAGGTTTATGCTTGTATAATAATTATCTAAAAGAGGATAAATCAATGTGAACACTATCCTCGAAGTAAGTGGTTCATTTATTTGCAAAGCGTTGTATTTAGTATCTGTAAAGTTGTACATGTAACCACTGCGGCTTTCACATAAGGCAAAAACGTCCATGCCAAATCGTTTCCTTTTCGAGGGTATGTACTGTTTCCAAGCAGTCTGCCTTTCCATCCTATCAAGGACTCATCTATGGCAATGTTTTGTTCTGGTATATAAGCTGACATACTTTTTTCAAAAAATCCAAAACTGGTAAAACTTTGACCAATTTTCAGGTTTTTGTATGTGGATTTATAGTAGAATTATCTAAAAACTTTAGCAAAAAATCTCTCACCAATACTTTAGAGAAAAAAGGAGTCTCGATGCTCTCTCGTTGTGAAAATTACATTTTGTACTCAGGCTTAGGACGGTAATATTAGCAACCCGATAAGGGTCCTAATTTCATTACTATCTGTATCAAACCATGTTTTAGCTCGGGAATTTGGCTTGAGGTTATCTTGATTCGAAGGAATATACTGCGATGCATATTTGTTTGTTTCTCTGATTATCATATCTATTAGATCATCTAAAAAATATTCAAAAGTTTGCAATATACCCTTTAAATTGATTACTTGTGCACCCCTGTTTGACGTAAAATGGAACGCTGGCCTTGGAATCCCGTTCTCTGTCCAGGGCATTTCAAAACTTGGATCAAGATCAGGTTCATGTTCACTTTCGGTATCACTCTCTTCAAAATCCTCGTTGAAATTAGAATCATTATCTGATTCGTCAGAACTACTGCACTGACTATCATAATCACTGGAATCATCTATAGTCATTTGAACATCAGAACTAGCCATTATCAAGAGTACTTTCAACGTTTGAACACAAACAAGCAGGAAACAGCCGGTATATGAAACCACGCAATAATGACTGCTAGCTTACACCGAAATCAAATGGCGGCAGACAACAACTTTCGGTCACAAACACAAGTAATTGTTCCTTATTCCTTATATGTTCGGTGGAATCATCACAGGCGAACGTATTCGTGATACCATGGACGGCCTCAATAAAATATTCTTGGCAAATATATCCGTCATAATCAACCTGGATAAAAAATATGTGAATATACAGGGTGTCCCGAAAACAGTGTGCAATATTCTACCAGCAGTTTCTAGAGCTTAAACTAGGAAGAAAAGTTTATATAAACATAGGTCGACAAACGTCCCCTAAGGGCGCTACGGTCTTTTAAATGGGCTCCCCTGAAGATGGTTTTTCGTTAATATTTAGACATAAAATTTGGTATTCTAGCCTAGTTTTTTATGCTGGATTTAAAAATATTAACAATTTTAGACAGTTTTGTTTGGAAGCGTATGTAACAGGGACGAACTCAGGTTATTTTAGCCCCAAAATTTTTGTGTGATTCTATTTTTGAAATTCAATTTTAGAATTTGAAAATTTAGGGTCTTCTACATAAAAAGGTACTCTTATTGAATATCGATAAATTGTACCATTTTTGAATAAAATCCAACTAAAAAATTTGTCACATGATAGGAAATGTACTGCGAATTTAAATGAATTGTTGATTATACATAGTTAGCCATGACTGCAAACAAAAGTTGTTTTATTGATTAAGATCAAAATTTTTATTAAATCGATTTAAAATGCCAAGATATACAGACAGAGGACTGACTGACATGCATTTTTTGTACGGGTTTTGCAATGGCAGTTCATTGGGAGCCGTAAGAGAATATCAAAGAAGATTTCCCAATCGCATAGTACCTGGACGTCGAATGTTTACTGATATTCACCGGAATTTGTTAAACCATGGAAGTTTTCAGCGCATGCAGGGCTCAGGCAGGCTACTGGGAAATCATCGTATGGATATTGCTTTAAATATGTTTGAAAATAATCCGCAAATAAGCATACGAAATATTTCAGAAAATATGGATATACCTCGATCAATAGTAAGAAAAATTTATAAATACCTATTTGATAGTTATCCTAAAACTAATAATTTTAGATAGGAAGAATGACAAGAATGCAATCATTTTAAACGGGTGCAGCATTTAACGAAGGCAGATTTTTTACCACGAATCCAGTTTTGCCAGTGGATATTAGCAAATGAAAATATTTACTAGGAATGGTGCTTTTAATTTCCATAACATGCATCACTGGTCAGATGAAAATCCAAAATTTGTTCGCCGTACAAGTTTCCAACATGAGATTTTCATTGAACTTATGGGCAGGAGTGTGTTTCAAGTAATTGGGCCTATTGTACTTCTCAATCGTCTTAATTCAGAGGTGTATCTGAACTTTCTTCAGAATGAGCTCATGGATATAATACCATTGGATGTGCGCCAGCAGTTTCAAAAAACTTTGTTTTTTCAACTTGATGGCGCCCCTGCACATTTTGGACGCAATGTTCGAAATTGGTTGAATGTCAATTTTCCAGACAGGTGGTTAGGCCTAGGAGGTCCTATACCATGGCCGCCACGTTCACCTGACCTAAATCTATTGGATTTCTATTTTTGGGGGTCATTAAAAGACCTAGTTTACTCGATTGAAGTAAATACTCAAGAAGATTTACTTCAAAGAATCCATCAGGCTACAAATGAACTAAGAAGGAAAAGGTTTTCCACTTTTCGGGCTACGCTATCATTAGTTCGTCGAGCGAGACTCTGTATCCAACAAAATGGGAATTTATTTGAACACTTATTGTAAAGCTAGTTTTAAGTATATCCAACTGTACGTCTTCTTTTTTAAACAAATTTCAATTACGTTCGTAAAAAAAATTTATTTCTTTTGTTTTTGGCTAAATGTTAGCTATGTTGCAATAGAAATATCTAGGTATTTAAGTAATATTTACCAATAATTAAATTAGTTTTTTCGTTGCCATGGCTAATTATTCAATAATTCATTTAAATTCGCAGTACATTTCCTATCATGTGACAAATTTTTTAGTTTGATTTTATTCAAAAATGGTACAATTTATCGATATTCAATAAGAGTACCTTTTCTATGTAGAAAACCCTAAATTTTCAAATTCTAAAATTGAATTACAAAAATAGAGTCACACAAAAATTTGGAGGCTCAAATAACCTAAGTCCGTCCCTGTTACATACGCTTTCAAAAAAAAATGTCTAAAATTGTTAATATTTTTAAATCCAGCATAAAAAACTAGGCTAGAATACCAAATTGTATGTCTTTGTCTCAACATGTTTCGGAAATATTAAGGAAAAACCATCTTCAGGGGAGCCTCTTTAAAAGACCGTAGCGCCCTTAGGGGACGTTTGTTTATATAAACTTTTCTTCCTATTGTAAGCTCTAGAAACCGCTGGTAGAATATTGAACACTTTTTTCGGGACACCCTGTATACGTCATTACCATTTAAGGAGTTAATTATTTTATGATGAAATGTTTATGCATTTTAACTCAATTTGATGTATAAATATTCCTTTAACATTATCAACGTCAAGTATCCCATCACGCTGCGTGCTAGTAAAACAATTACGGCGACCAATAAGAGATCAATACCACAAGGACCCAATGTAGTGTATGAGCAGTAATGCGGCAGGAAATAAATGTGTCTTCATGGCTTATCGATTTACAGGGAATCCATACAAAGTTTCCGTCAGAGAGGACACCGCTGCTCGTTCCACATAATGGGGGGAAAAGTATAACACAGGGTAGGCTATCTTCTATCCAAGCGTTTGTCAAATCAATAATAGTATCTTTTATAGGAAAATGAAAGAAGGCACTATACAGGATCTTTCCAAAAATATGGGGCAAAGATTCAAGGTGTGAATCCTTCGAACTACTCAAGACTATTTTGTTCTCTGATTTTCCGTTTCGGAGATACGCGCCCCTGAAGGATGCCATTGGAAATAAGTTTTTACTTAAATAACAACAACACTATATAATCCAACAAAATGTTAACTGCGTAAGGAGTAGTTGAAGCCGCAAATTTTCACATCCACAGAAAACAATTTGTTCATTTATATTGTCAGGAATCGACCAGCCCTAACGCAATCCCTAATTATTTAACTTCTTGTATAACAATCGCTCAAATATGTAAAATTTTCGAAAAGCCTGACCATTTAACTGGAAACGTGTAGTCTTGTTTAACTTCGATAGCATGAATCACTTCTGCGAAAAACTACCTTGTTTCAGTACTGATCATATCGGTTTATACTGCCGTCAATCCCCAAAGTTGGACAGTACTTTGAAACTTGGTAAAGTGGTCTGAACATTCCACACGGGGAATTTCCAGGTTGCTAATTATCAAAATTAGTATTTTCTTAATATCAGAACCATTAAATTACTGCAGCAAGACTTTCTTTCTAAAAAAGGGCTCATTTTTTCAGATTGGGTAATGTGAGGCCTTGAAACTGCGCTGTCAAAATTTCGTTGAATTCCTTCGTAGATTGTGAACCAATTTGGTATTATTATGATTATTAAATATGCAGTTGTTTTGCTTCGCAATACCGAGGCCAAACTGTTGCCTCTTATAATATTTCCTCACAAGTCAATGAGCTTTGAGGTGTCGAAGTACTATTTCTCGCATTTCGGCTCCATGAACAGTGCAGGTGTAGCATTATTAGTAGTAGAAGGTTGCATAATAGTCAACCGGCATGTTGCGTCGGTAAAACTAATTTATACTTATGTGGTTTCATTTGGTCACAGAGTCAAGAAAGAAAAAGCTTTGTAGTTTTCGAGAATCATTCCAATGGCGGCGGGGCTAGTGACAAAAAGCCGAAAAAGTAATAATTGCTCAAATTTCATTTTTTGACGATCCAGAGGCTCCTGATCATTTTCAAAAAAATGTTTGTAGGAGTTGCTGGAGGTATATCTCATTTTACGGGTGGCAGAATATTTATTCGCTTCCCACCCCAGTACTTAGAGAAATATTCTTAGACGAGACGCGGTCGGTCGGGACGATGCAATGCTCCGGTGACTTTCGTTCGCCGAACCCTGCCTTAGGTTCTCTCAGTATCGCTGACAAGGATGTTATTTGTATCGTGGCTGCCGCTTATGACGTGTTACCAGATAATAATAATAATAATAGCTTTATTGTCCAACAGTTTCCCATTTATAGGACAATTTATAAACATAATACAAAAGCAAAAAAAAAGCGAAAAGAAAACAACAAATGCAACACAGGTATAAATTTGTAACATGAGCTATTAGTCCGAATAAGCCTTAGTCGCCTTTAGCAGGTAATTAACATTTGTCGTAAATATATCACAGTAACATCCAATTCTGTTTAAGTTAGAGCACATTACATATAACGGTGACTTGAGAAGAATGTTTGTCCTAGCTCTAGGAAGCCCGAATATTTTATGATTGCGAGATGCAAACGTTGGAGTCCGAAACTTGATCTGTTCCAGGATCAAGGGGCAATCCATTAAATTGTTGATCATTTTGTAGCCAAATATTATTGAGGCACTGTACCTACGTTTTTTCAAAGTCAACATGTCTAAGCGACTACATAGTTCCTCATTACTTGTACCTCTCTCTGGATATGTCCCATCAATCCTAAACAGAACAAACTTCATAAACTTCCGTTGTACTCTTTCAATAGCTGTGCTATAGAATTCATAGTAAGGGCTCCAAATAATACAATATTCGACTTTGGATCTAACATAAGCATAATATAATAGCTTAATAGACTTTATGTTATGAAAATTCCTGCAATTCCTTACTATGAAACCATAAGCCGCCAATGGTTCTGATGCTTTTTTATTTATATGCTGACTAAAAGTTAACTTTTGATCATAGATTATACCTAAATCACGTACATCAGAGCATCTTTCTAGCACAGACCCATCAATAGAGTACGGATATTCGCAAACATTAA